GGGGGGTTGGAAGGAGTCGTGCCGACAAAACTCGTGTATGTCGCGGCGAACAGAGGACATTTGGGTGAACCTAGATTCAATCCAAACCGAATATAGCGAGATGTAAATATTCTTGATATATTACGAAAATGACCAGTCACATCTCTATTCTAGGTCTACGAAAGTGGGATGTGCCACAAAATTTTTATCAGCTATTTAAAAAGGCTTCAAAATTTGGCTTTTCATAAAAATTTGAACTTAATGCTTACAAATTACTGAAAGTTTTCTTATCACACACACCACCCTCCAATTCTCCATTAGGAGGGGGGGGGGGGGGGGGGATGTCTGTCATATTCCCAGGTATTAAAACGCCTGCCTGTAATTTAAATGGCACATTTGGTATTTTTTGTATGTTTTATTCAAGGAGTGATCCAAAAGAAAATCGTGTGTTTTTAAAGGAAATTTAAATGTTGATTCGCTTCTGATCGGTTAAAGTTTCTCCGATATGTCTAGAAAGTACAATATTAAACCAAAAAAAACAGCTGTTATTACAATGCAAATACACATATCAATGAAGGCATAAGAATGCAATAAATATGCACATAAGAGAGTGAATTGCTGTTGACTGTTTACTGTTTCTCCTAAAGTAACCGTCTCGACAGTACTTTAGATGAAAAGGACAGCTGTCGCTATTTCAGGTCATTGCTTCGACAAAGGCGGTTGGTTAGGAGAACATAAGGTAACCCCATGTATTCCACAAGTACTGCTACTTTGGCCACACATATTGAAATTAAATAGCATGAAGTTAATAAGAGGTATGAATCAAGTGAAAAATCCCCAAATTTTGAACTGCGTAAATCAATAAAATTTGCCATTTTGAAATTATAATTCACCCTCTGTAAACTGAATCGAGCTATGAAAAGCTTTTTTAAAAATCATTTTATTACATAATTTTCGAAAATAATATATATATATATATAATAAAAATAAATTCTAATGAATTGATGTGTGCAGTCGATTGCTGAAGAAATAGTGTAGCACGTAATGTACAAAAAAAACATGCATCGAATTTTCTCAGAAAAGGTTTCAAATAACAAATAAAAATGGATCGTTTTCAGAGGGATTGTAAATATCGTCTCAAACCGAAGTCTATAGGTGCAAGTTTCTCAACTGACGATCACACTTGAAAGGCAACTCCTAAGGTAGGGATTAAATGATTAAATTTGCAGAAGAGAAATACTTCACGAAAATAGCATAAATTTAGTGGTAAAAGGAACCATGAAGTAATTGTTCGCTTGGATTACTCCTTGTTGATGAATGATCCACTACTTTTAAAGGAAATATACTTCATAAAATTCGGAAAAGCTGATATATAGCCCTTCGGCTTTGGGGAAGAAGATAGGGAGAGTTGGTTCATGGAGTTGTGGGAATTTCACATGACCATGTGGTGGTTGAATGCTGCATCGTATAGGTTTTCCTAATTGTAGAATACATCTCTTCACTTCTAAGGTCATTATGCATATGCGGAAACCATACATACATTCGAAGACGAAAAATGATAGGCTGATTCGGCCTTTAAGTTTATTTAACTGATACATTCCCTGCTTAAGTCAAATTATTACAAATATTGGAATGGCGTCAAGCTTTACTGTTTAGATTCCAGAAAGAATGTCTTAACTAGATTGTGGATATTCTGCTACCCAACTTGCCTTGCCACTTGTCATAACCTAAGTTAGAAATGCATCGAATACAGCTTCCATAACCGCGTAAGTGGAATCCACACACACCCCCCCCCCCCCCCCCCCCCCCCCCACCCCGAGACTCTACGTAATGCCGAAGAAAGCTGAGTCATTGTGTGCCGGACTCCGCCCGTCCCCCCTCGAAGGTCAGCCCAACTTGTCTTCAGCGCCAACTTATCTCCTCTCTGCGTGGCTTATTTTCTGGTGCCTCCGTTGGGTGAAGTTAGTAACGAACCTTCATGTAGATGGGTCAAGCACAGTTCTTGAATGGGTCACTATGAGCACACGAGAACGAAATTTCCTAGATCATGCAGCGGGACCCACTTTTAGGTCTAAAGTACGCGATACATGATAGGTATATTGAAATGATAGGAAACGGGGAGGAAAGTAAGAGGAAAACATGTGCAGATTCAATCGCAGAGCAATTATTGAAAGAAGAATGAATTTTTCCATCCCAAGTTATGCCCTGAAACAAAAGGATCTGGGAGTAAAGTCTTCGAGACCTCATTTTTACTTTTTTTAATGATATTAAGCCACCTTCCACGGTTAACTGAAATCACGTTAACTATATTTAATAATAATCGGATGAATTAAATGAATTTGCCTATATTCGGTCAGTGTGGATTTTAAAATTCTCCACGATTTCAGGAAATATGAATAGAAATCGGTATTTATTTGTTTATTTACAATTTATTAACTCGCATCTGTCCCTCTATTAAATCTTATTTCGAACGTAAAGCAACGATGCCAATAGTTTCCACTGAATCCAGAACTTAGTTGAAGTAAACTGAGTTTCGTTCTCCAGGTGCAGTTGTTCCGACTTTGTTCTACTTAAACTGCGAAAACCACCAGCCTCTTTTGTTTGATATTTTTGAAGGAAACTTTGCCCTTATTAATATTCCCACCAGTCACCTTAAAGATTCTATTTGAATATGACAGACGTCGACAAAATTTAAGCATTTTTGTTAATTGTAAATTGTTCAAAGATTGTATCCTTGTTTAGAGTGTGATACTCCAATAAGGCAAGAAAATAAAAGCCAATTCTATTAACGTGGAGGAATAACTTATGACGTAGAATCTTCCTCCTTCTTTTCCCTGCAACATCAATTATGAATCAGCCTCAAAACAGGGAGGAAAAACAGACGACGACACCTTTGGTTACCATCTTGGCAAGACCAGAATCGTAATTAATCCAACAAAGTCATCGAATATGTATGCTCCTTAAACGTGTTGAGGGGACTAATATTTACTCAGTTTTATCGAGTCAAAGGAGGTTGCGATGTATCAAAGTAAGGGCCAGTGTGGCGCGTTTTTTGTGTGAAGACCTCGATAAAGTCAAATAGAGCACATGGCTGCGTAGTTGTTTAAAATTGCCACCGCCAAGTGATGATTCTACATTTAAACAAAAGCCTGCTCGTCTTCCCACCACTCAAATAAATTTGGAATGGCAATTTTGTCGAACAGTGGAAGTCACAATCTTGTGAGGTTTTCCGCAAAAAAAGTTTAAAATCACACACAAATGAGTAGTAAAGACGACAACCAACCAAAACAGTGTTCAAATATGCTTCTCTTAAGGACAAATATTTACAACGAAGAATTGTTCTAGATTTGGGCCAATTTTGTTACTAAGTGCTTGGAATCAATATTTTCTAGCTATTTAAATAAGCTAAGTTGCCATTGGAGAGATCTACTGGAATATGGTGTCATGAAGAATTTTAAAGTTGTATAAAATTTGAAGTAATGATTGGTTATTCCGATATCGGGGACTTACCATTTTGAGTACATGCACCATAGAGTTGAATAACATGCGGATGTGGCTCAAATTGTTTGAGAATTTCCATCTCTCTGACGAGATCTGCAAGCTCTTGCTCATTGAAGTTATCTACAAAATGAAACAAAGTTATTTCTGATAGTTATTTCTTTTAGCAGCAATTGACTTAGTATTCCATTAAATGTGAAACAGTGTCAGCTCACTTTTCTGAACATCTTGATTCATCCGAGATTTAGTCAACTCTTTTTTTCTAATTCAAAGTAAAATTTAGGGGGAGAAAAGGTCCTTCAGCCAAAATTAGTCGTACTAATGTTGTGTGAGACAGTGAGCCCACTAAATATTCAAAATACGTAGTGTGAGCACAATGTAGAAGTGCATTGAGATAGCAGCTAAGTTGATGCCACTTGGCTTTCAACTTGTGAAATGGTAACAAATTTTAAGCCACCCCAGTCCTTCAAAGGATTGACCTATTTCGATGACAAAACTACGTCTAACTTCCAACTGTGGTACAGCTCTCCTTCTGAATTTCAAAATAGCTTCAGGTTGTACCAAAGAAATCACACACTAGACGAACTAATGTATATATATATAAATATATCGGTGTTTTTTTCCGATTAACCTCTGCCCAAAAGCTAAAATGATTAAAGAAAGAGAGGGCTTAGATTGAAATAACAAGGCCTTCTTTGGCAATAAGATTGACACCAAAAGAATCAAAGCAAATCTCAAGCAAGTCATTAATGAATGCATTATTTTGATTTTCAAGTTTGATATTTGCAGTATGCCTCTTGACAGAAGTATTTCAAAAAAAATGGATCTGACCTTTCGATGACTTTTATGAGTTGAACTCCCTTCAAGTATGTCAAAATAGATTTAGCAGTGAAAATTCACCCTCGGAACCTTTTGACCATATCCATATGTCATTTCAGCATACCCAGCGTTGGATGCCGAAATTCTCCCTTTCTTAAGCATCCGAAATAGCCAAATTTTCTCCACCCCACTCCTATGTGGCAAACTTCCCAACATTCCCCAAACAGAGTTGTCACACCGCTGTCAGATCATTGAGCTATGCCTGAATTCTTATAAACCAAAATGACCTATTTAAATTTTAATATTATTATTATGTCTTAAGTAGAATCTTCACTTCCAGATTTATAAACAGGTTTAAATTAAATAAACCAATATATGAAGTGGGAATTATGGTATTCCGTTAAACCCTCCTACAGTTACTTCGAATCAGATAAACGCACTGAAAATGATATTGAAAAAGCAACTCCGATCAATGTTAGGATGCAGCAATTAATAATAATTGATTGTTTAAATTGTGATAAGTTAAAATGAACACGACAGAACTGCAGAGTTGTCTAAGGAACCATATTCTTCTCCCCTCGGTTTCCAAACGAACAATGGACTTGTCAGTTCTTTACAAATTATTTGGACGATCAGAATCTTTCTGCAAAAGTTGAGACTAACACGTCCGATGATGGTTCACACACACCTAAAGCTATTCATTCTTAATATTCTTTTGTTTATTCTACTCAATTCCTGGTTGTAAATGTCCGACTAAAAGGTGATTCCTACTCCAACACCATGTCAGACTGGCAATGATGAAGCGTATCTGCGCCTACCAGTCGGAGATAGTGAGAAAGCGACGAGTATCACGCACTCTACAGAATCTTCTATACCAAGAATCGATGCAACACGACTTGTCGCCAAGCCAACAGTGTCGAAGCAACATTCAGTCCCGTTGATTTTTCAGCTTAATCTCCAGTTTAATAAAACATGGCACTTAGAGGGATATAAAAAAGGCTTTTGCATTTTTGCCCCCCCCCCACTCCTCCTACTCGGTAGAGTAGTTAGAGTAGTCGCCAATCAGAACCCACCAAAAGTTTTGCTCAGAACTTTTATTATAGTCTTAGTACTTTCCAATCCCAATTCCAGCCCAATCTCAATGATCTGGATGGACAAATTGTTTACAATGGGACAGGTTTAGGTACTGCTTTATTTTGGTATCAAAATTTGGGTCTGCCGTAGCAAAATCCTCCCCCTTCTCGATTTACGGCATTATTTTTAACCAAAAATAGATACAGCAGATATTTTTCTGTATGCACGTGACCTTCCTTAGTTTCTGAAAAGCAAAATTTCGGAGACCTAGTACAGTCGTCGGCCCGACTGTTAGTCCAGACGCTTCAGGGTAACTAGGAAAGAAATCAAGGTGATTCAAAAGCTCAAACGTATGGAGAATAGAGTTTCGTCAAGAGGAATTAAGAAAAGTTACACGGTAATGTCAATAATTCTTCAGTTTTGTTTAAATGCGGTAATTTGTAATGTCGTTGACTTGAAGAATTTTGAAGTAAAGCCTGGCATTAAGGTAATTAGGTGTTTTTAGTGAAATCTGAATTCTGTAGTTATTCTTTGGAGGTTATTTAGCTTATAACCCCCACACCCCACCCCCCACATTATTTGATAATTCCAATTCCCACCGAAAAGTCAAATCGATAGCAGAGCACATTAAAATGAAAAAAATCGACAGGAAAATTCGGTTCTGCCAAAAATCGACTACTGGTGGAAGAATGAAATGGTAACCTGGCCTAAAAACCAAACAAAAGGCAGAAGTTAATGATTTGACTTGACAGCCTGATAAAAACGCAGACGAGAATTAAATTAAACCACTCAATTTATTTTTTTTGAAAATGGGATATTTGTGTTCAGACCTTAGAGTGATTAACTTACTACTAATTGTTAATATGTACGACCGCGGAGGACCTGCTTATTGGCTGAATACTCATATTTGAATACTCAGTGAGCGGACCAAAAGAAATCAGACTTCTTACCAATGAATCTCCATGAAACCACACCTAACTCAAGATGTGCTTCAAGAAACGCTTTATTCAATGGATCTGGAAGTTAGCAATTGTATTATAACTAGAGAAGGTCACAAATTGGATTTATGAATTTCTTGCAAAGAGTTTTCATGCTATCAAAAGAGATCAAAATGTACTACCGTAAAACCTCAAAATATTCTGAATGAGTGGAATAGTATTTAAGTTTATAAAAGTGCTGAATAGTTGGATTCTAAGGTATTCCTTTTCAGAATCTGGAAATTCAATGAAGTGTATCCCCGCTTAAATTAAAATTTCAGCATGCTGACTATAAATGACACTTTGTTGGACAACTTATCAAGATATCTATGAAGTTACTAGTGACATTGTTAATTGAATGAATTTTGGGTCAGGGGATTGGTTTCTGCAATCAGTCTGACACAAATCCTTATCGCGTACTTAACTGGAAAAATAACAAAGGGGGTACGAAAGTTCCAAAACAGGAAAACAGTTTCAAATGTGATGTTGACGTCATCAATTTTTGGGATAGGTTTTGTCATCAGAAACCAGGTTATACAAAATTAGGACAAATCCTTCAAAATCCCACTGACCCAGAGATATCTTAAAACCATTTATCCTTGAGCACGGAATTCTAATTTACCAAATTTTTATTGATCTAACACCTATGATGTCTTTATTACGTTTGGTTCCTAATCTAGTGCTAGAAAATTATTGATGAAAATTGTCATAAATTTGGCTAGTGTTCCAAAGATTAAAAATTTTCATACTGACGAAAAGTGGGTTAGACACCGTCGGGAGAACTCCCTTTTTGTAAAAAAATGAAAATTATTTTAAACCTTTTATCCTCTTACGTACGTACTTATCTATCTACTGGTTCCAATTAAAAGAAATCACTAATAACTATATCTAGTACCCTGGGTGAAACGTATGGCACTTACCTAGAAAACCAAGGAACATAAAGGTATGTGGCTTAAATTTTGGTTGGCTATTAAAAATTATCTTTATTTAAGTATGAAACCTACCACGCAGTGTTTTCACAGCAACCGTAAGTTCCTGCACATCCGGACAGTCACTAAGTTCTCTCCTACGCAATCCAGGTAGAACTTTATTTGGTTCAGCAATGACGCCTGCGTAGACCACTCCAAAGGCACCAGCACCGATCTGACGTCCAAGACGAACACAGTCTCTTTCCACTTCCCATTCGGGATCATTTGGGATCTTGTAGGTATTTTGTTTACTCTCGGAACTTGCAGCCCCACCGTTATTGTTTCCTGTACCAGAACCATTTCCCGGAGCGCTTGTTGCTGTGCTATCAACTTGAATTATTACTGCCGGGACCTGAAGGTGGAAACAATTTGGATTAACACCCATGTAAGGTATACTTGGACGTCGCTATCGCTTCAAGGTCTTTTAACAAAACCACGAAATAAGCAGTCCTACTTTACCTATTTCCAGATAGATACCTTTCCAACTACTAAGGAATACATATCCTTAAAATACTCAAGTACATTTGGGATTATTTTACTCATTCGATCTGCAATAAAGACGTAGTTGACTCAAAATTATCTAAAACTTCCGGGCGAACAGAAATAAGGACAGTATTCCAAGTATGTCAAAACAGCGGCCTATATTAATACCGAAGTTGGGGGGGGGG